GTGGCTGCTAACGCCGGGCGCAGCCGCTGGCTCCGTGGTTTTGGGGTGGGACTTGCCCTTCGCACCTGAAAAGGGAAAATAAGGGAGCCTTGCTGAGCAAGGAGGGGAGAGATTTCTGCCCAGTGTCCGAGGCGAGAGCTGGCATCTGGCAGTCCAGGTGGTCCCGACCCAGACACAGCCGTCATCTGGAGACCTTCCTGGTGAGCTGGCTCACGGCGCGCTCCCGCTGTGGTACGAAGCGAGCGGCTTACGGAAGATCTGTTCAAGCCTCCCAGATAGCGGCTGGCAGAGCGCTTGCTCTGCTGTCTGATCTCTGTGCTAGCCGTTGGCTCTCGTGCCTCATCCCTGACCCCAGGATTCCTCTTCTGGAAGCGCCGAGAGGCGGAGGAGAAGACGCAGAGTTGTTCAGGAGCTCTGCTGCAACCCGTTGCCGTGGCTGGACGTATAGAGGGCGTCTCCTGCCCAAGCTCAGGCCCTAAAGCTTGCTGACTGATATCAGAGTCGTCATTAATTCCTCTCTGGCACTCGGAGCAGCTCAGGAATCACTCCAGTAGCCTTCTTTTCCTGCTAATTCGTAGCTGTTGCTTGGGAATGGCCCTGCGGGGGGTGGCTTTGGTGCTGGTGGCCGTGGCGAGGCGGGGTGGAAGGGCCACGCGCCGCAGGCACCCACCTTCACCCCGCTCTGCCTTGCAGGTGCATCAAGCTGCAGCTGGGAGGGGAGGCAGCGCAGGCAGAGGCCTGGGACTGGCTAGCAGCAAACCAGCTCTCCGCCCTGGTGAGCACCAAGGAGTCCAGGTAGGTCCTCGTCTGTGGGGGAGGAGCGCGGAACCGCGCTTCGTGAGAGTCGCTTCTGGGGGCAGAAGCCTTGCAGGAACCCAGAGGGGGTCGCAGGTTCATTAAAACCCCCTGAAAGCAGACCTGGGGGACTGGGACAGCAGGAGAGCCGTGTTGCCGTGCTGTCGCCGGGCACGTGTTGAACCCAGGCAGCGGGACGGGTCCCCCGGAGCACCCCGGGGCCTCGCAGACGGTGGCAGGGGCTGCTGGCCCGGCTTCCGAGGGGACACGTTGCCTTGCAGTGCCACGGACGAAGCCTGGCGGCTGCTGTCGTCCTATTTGGAGCGTTACCCGTCCCAGAACAGCCTGTACCACCGCTGCGTCATCAACAAGCTCTTGGCACACGGGATTCCTCTGCCCAACTGGCTCATTAACAGCTACAAGGTGAGGACAGGGAGAGGCCTTGGCTTCAACGGGCACCCCCTCGCTGCAACCCCTTCCCAGCTCCGGGAATCCTTGTGCCTGTTACTGCGGCTCGGAGCGGGTCCCTCTCGGCGGCGGGGCGGCTCCCGGGAGCCTTCCCTGGCTGACGTTTCCCTCTCTGCCTGGCAGAAAGTGGACGCCGCCGAGCTGCTGCGTCTCTACCTGAACTACGATCTGCTGGAGGAGGCGGCCGAGCTGGTCCTGGAGTACGTCGATGCCGTGCTGGGCAAAGGGCACCAGTATTTCGGGATCGAGGTGAGCGCGCCCGCGGCCCGCGACGCGGCGGGGACGCCGTTCCTGGGCTCAGGTGCGGTGCCCACAGCTTGGGTCCCGGCGCTTCCAGGAGAAACGGGTGTGGGTGACCCATCGCAGGGGGAGGGAACCCCTCAGTGGGACTATCGCGATGAGCACGTGTTGCGATAGTGCGCCTGGGGCCTTTCCCTCGCCACCACGCTGCGTTCTCGCCGCGAGCACAAGGGTTGCTCTCCCCCTGCAGTTCCCGCTGTCCGCCACGGCCCCCATGGTGTGGCTGCCCTACACCGCCATCGACCAGCTGCTCCAGGCCCTGCGCGACAGCA